CGCGAGCCCCAGGGCCCGCCCGTGCCCAGGCCAGCGCTCAGGGAGCGCGCCATTCCCGCCCGCCTCACCTCCTCCTCCTCCTCCCGCCATCGCGAGACTTCCGGCAGAGGTAGGCGGATCCGGAAGTGGGTTCTACCATCTTCTCGAAGTCGGCGTAGGAAAGAGGGAGAACATAATGCTCTAAGTAAATCAGTTCCACCGTCCAGAAACTCAATTGTATACCTTCGATAAGTGACCAAATTCGATCTCCCCTTGACTTGTGAGTTCTAAAGTTCCAGTCCGTGACTTCAAACTTCCCCCCACAGCTTCCTGGATGGTAGAAGCTTCCGAAGACCGCTGATTCCAGAAAGTACTGTCTGGCGTTAAACTAGTCTCAGGCGCAAAATAAATCTCACGCAGCTTGGACTGCGCACGCGCAGGCCGTTGAGCCCTCCCGCGAGCGGAAGGTGCGCTCTCGGTTCCGGAGTGGTGTCCGCCAGCTGCCGGACAGTAAGCCCTGCTCCTACACCATGGCGTCCGTGGGGACTCTTGCCTTCGATGAGTATGGGCGGCCTTTCCTCATCATCAAGGATCAGGACCGTAAATCCCGTCTTATGGGACTCGAAGCCCTCAAGGTAACGGGACTGGGACGCCCTGGCGGTGGAACGAGGGGAAGGGGCCGAACGCAGCGGCTCTGCGCCTGCGCAAGCCTAGGCGTGGTTCTGCCATGTGCTCCCGGGAAAGGCCGGGGGAGCGCCTGTGGGGTGCAGACCCGCGCCCCGCTCCTGAGCTCGGGGGAGGCTAGCATACGAGCCCTCAGCCCCAGCGTGGGGGTTAGGGGGAGCCGCGAGCCCTCCAGAGTTGGTGGGGCAGTTTTATCTCACATCTTGGTTCGTTCCTCCAGCCTAGCAGTCTTACCGTCCAGCGTGTTTTCGCCAGTAAGAGGCAGAGAAAGCATTCTCAGGTCGCCTGGACGTTAAAGACTGCTGCTTAATCTTCATTAAGTGTATCTGAGACAGCCCTAAAAGACCGTTGGTTCGTTTTCTTTGTCACCCCCTAAAGACTTAATCATATACAAAGTATTGCATTTTTGAGTACTTTTTATGCAGGGCGTTTTCCTGGATGCTGCAGCGTCGTAAAAATTTTAAGTGTAGACTCTTAGGGAAGGAAATACCGTAACAGTGAGAAATGGGACAGCAGTAACCCAAATACAAGGCAGCGTGTGACCAGAATCACCAGTCAGTTATTGGAGAGGATGCAGGTAATAGTTGGAGGGTGTCCTTTGACCGGGACTGGCTCTAGATCAGGAATGGAGTCATGTTCTGAAGGGGAGAGAGCTAGCTGGCTCTCTAGGACGAGGGAACAGCAAAAGCAAAGAGCTGGGCAGGAAATGGCATGGCACGTTGTAGGGTGAGAACGCAGACCCCTTTTAATGGAGCAGGGTCTTAGATTACACCAGCTTCCAAGGATGGAAGTCCTCGAATGCCCCACACTCAAGACTTATTCTCTGGGAAGGAGCGGAACCATTGAGGGGGTTTTGAGCAGAGTCAAGACTTAAGTGGGACTGTACCTTAGGAAGTAGGGCTTGGGATGAGCTGAAGGGAATGAAGACCAGAGTTAACTCACCACTGCAGGAGTCCAGGTAAGGACAGGACTCGAACACAGACATTAGCCGAAAGTTCAGAGGAAGGAAGCTGAGAGAGGACACTGACTTCTTTAGGTTTGTTATAAACTGAAATAGATCCACGACGTCAACATGCAGATCTCGTCACCAGGCTGAGGTGTCCCTGTTCACTAAGTGTCTTGGGATTTTACTTAAACAGTCTAGTTCTTGCATGGACTGTTTGACTTGGGACAAGTTACACACCTCTCTGAAGCTCCTTTCTCAGCGGGGGTAATACACCTTTGTCAGGCCGAGAAAATGAGAATTAAATAGGGTAACGAGGAGTGCCCGCATGTTTGATCTGCGGGAGGTACTCAGGCCACTAGTATTATCTATGCAGTTCCATTTCTTACTTAAAGGGACCAGCAGGGAAAGTGACATTTCACACGTACCCAGTATAACAGTAAAATAGATACAGATAATTTTGCATCGACCACTGTGTTAACTGTGTGCATTATTTCACGTAGTCATCACACTCTGAGACAGGTATTAATTATACAGAATTGGAAACCTGGCCGAGAGTAATTAATTAAAAGGTCACAGAGCTAGTGAAGAACAAGGCCATGATTGAAGCTCACCTGTCTGACTCCAAAGCCAGTGGTCTGGACCCAGGTTCTCAGCCTTGGCACTGTTAGCATTTGGGAGCAGGGAAACTGTCCAATCTAAGACATGGAGCAGCATCCCTGGCCTCCACCCACTGCCAGTTATAGCCCCCTGCCCGGTTTCGACAACCAAGACTGTCTCCAGGCATTGCCAAGTGATTCCTGGGGAAACAGTCACCCCTGCCTTAGGAACCACTTCCCTGTGATATTTATCCTTTAAAAATTCCATTGTACAAACATATTGGTCAAAATGTATTTTAAGGATTGTAGCCTTTTCACAGATCTGTTGAACTTTGTGTCTTGTTACCTGCCAGACAGAGTGACCAGGGAAAGCCCTACAGAACATATGCATTTGAACTGCTTTGAGAGTTAAGGTTTTTGATGGGCAAAGAGAGGCCCTTCTTTGCGTCTGCAGTTCTGGGGTCAGCGGACGTGTTCAGGGGCAGGCATGGCCCATCTTCAGTGGGAGGGCGCTGGATCTCAGGTCGTAGAGGGCTTTGAAGGGAAGCTAAAGCTGTTAGACTTGCATGTTGAGGCCCTGGGGCGTTGTTCAAGGTTTGGGGACTGGTAAGTGACACGTTTGAGAGAAATCAATGGCTTAGTTGGATGCAGGAGGGATCAGAAGGATCGGAGGTGAGATGAGGGACCCTGGATTTCTCCGGGGTGCTGTGGATCTGGGTTAGGTTGTGATGGCAAGCATAGAAAGTAAGGCAAGAAGACACATTTGGAGGAAAATAGGCCTGATTATGTGTGGCAACAAATAGGTGCTTTCAAGCTTCCATTACTTGGAATGTTGGACACCCTTGGCAAATGACAAGCAAAGGTGACTCTTCGTGTATGAGTTATGTATTGGCTGGACCATTGAAATTGAAAAGCAGAGTGTTTCTGCGGTAAACCAGTGTGCAGTGGTTCCAGGTGTGTTTACAGCTGGACTCTGCATGCGAAGCTAGCATTGCACAGTGGTCTTGCAGGACCTGTTGGGTCAGACTGTCTACAGACAGGCCAGTAGGAGAGTCTGCCTTGTAAATGCATTCGGGATTAAATGAGCAAACAAAGTACTCGATTCTGGTTCTTTCATAAGAATTGTTTGTATAAGTAAGTGTTGCCACACTTAGATACGGACCTGTCTGTTGCCTCTTAAATGTAGACCCTTCTAGAGGATGGAAACTGTCACAGGTGATTTCTATAATTATCAGCGGTATGCTTTGAACTATTAAAATTATATGTAACTAGAATATTTGCTTTTTCTGTCTCATTTAGTCTCATATAATGGCAGCAAAGGCTGTAGCGAATACGATGAGAACATCGCTTGGACCAAATGGTAAGAGACTAACGTTGTGAGTGTTCGTTCTAACAAGTGTTAATTTGTAAGCTAGTCAATATGACCTCTTTACAGAAAGTTGAGAAATGGAGGGGGCATTCTACCCCGCTAATACAGCCAGACTTCTGGTGTGCTCCAGGTTCTAAACATGGTTGTAGTCCTGATAGGTATACAACTTTAGGCCAGATTTTTTTCATTTAACATTAGCATTTTCCAAATCACGTGTATGTTACATGCCATTGAGTTGGCTCCAGCTCCCGGTGAGCCCAGTAATGAGTGACGTCCACAGAGTCCTGTCCCCACCAGCCCTGCTCAGCTCCTGCAGACTCAGGCCCGCGGCTTCTCTCACGGAGTCGATCCACCTCATATCTGGTCTTCCTTCGTCCTACTGTCTTGTTTTCCCAGCATTCTTGTCTTTTCCAAAGACCCCTGCCCTCTCACGATGAGCCCGAAGCGGGACAGCTGCAGTTTGGTCATTTTTGCCTCCAGCGATGTCTCAGGCTTAATTTGCTCCACGACCCACTTGCTACCTTATTGGCAGACCGGGGCATCCACACAGCTCTCCCCCAACGCCATATTTCACATGATTCCATTTTTCCCTGTCAGCCTTCTTCCCTGCCCAGCTTCCGCATCTGTACACAGTAACTAGCGACCCGAGGGTGTGGGTGATCTCGGCCTCGGTCTCTAGCGACACGTCTTTGCTCTCGATCTTTCCTAATCTTCCATCGCTGCCCCTCCGAGGCTCAGCCCTCTCTTGATTTCTTGGCTGCGGCCTCCATTCGAATTGATGGCTGAATCAAGGTAGGTCAGATCTTCAACAGTTTCAGTGCCTCCCTTGTCGATGGTAAAGTTGTGTATTTCTTCTGTAGCCACGATTTTGTCTGTCCGCTTTGGCACGTCCTTTCACTCTCATCAGAAGTCATTTCAAAGCTACTTTCTGCCAGTAGGATGGTGCCATCTGCATATCCTAAGTTATTCACCAGTTTTCACGCCTCCTCCCTGAGTCTGGCCCAGTGTTTCATATGATATGTTCTGCGTACAGATTAAACGGAGAGAGATAAAATGCACTCTGGTCTGACACCTTTTCCCACAGGAAACCATTCTGTCTGTCCACAGGCTGTCCTGACAGCGGCTTCCTGTCCACAACACAGGTCACGTGTTGGGACAGTCGAGTGCTGAGGCACACCCAGTACTTTTCAGAGCAACCCATGGCTTTTCTTGATCCATGGAAAGACTTTACTGTAGTCTGTAAAACAGATGACCGTTCTCAAACTCTTTGGAGCGCTCCAGTATCCAGAGGATGCTCGCAGTTAGGTGTGAGTGTGTCTCTTTTCTGAATCCAGCCTGAACATCCGGCATCTCTTGCTCCATATAAGGCAGAAGCCTTGGCTGCATCACTTTGAGCATCACTTTGCTTGCATGGGAAATCCGGGCAGTGGTCCTCCGGTTCCTGCACTCCCGGGCATCTACCCTCTTGAAGACTGGGGCGTACACCGAACGTTTCCAGGCTGTAAGCCGTTGCTCTGTTTTCCATCTTTGTTGACATGTTCTTGTTAGGATGTTGACAGATTCAGTCTCTGGCTTGAAGTAATTCTGTCGGTATCCCATCTACCCTCGGTGATTTATTTCTTCTCAACACTTTCAGGGCAGCTTTCACTGCATTTTCTAGAATTACAGGCTCTTCCTCATAGGAGTCATCATCAGGGTATCCGTCATCTTTTTCTCTTAATAGAGTTTCAGTATACTGTTTCCACCTTTTCTTTATTTCCTTCTAGTTAAATAACGTGCTTCCTTGTTGGCTGTTCATTCCTTATCTAGGTTTGAATTTCCCGTTTATTTCTTGAATCTTCTGATGGCGATCACTTGCTTTTCTTCTTCTCTATCATCTTACGTTGGCTATTGTAATAGTTCTCTATCATGAGATTATCATTGAAACCCATGTTCAGAAATCTAACCCTGCTTCTGTTACCTTTTGCCTGTCTCCCGTCTCTAACAATTTTTAGTGTTTTTTGTGTCACGCATCTCAATTTTTCTTTCCTTTTTTACTTCCGGCATCGTCTTTTCACATTCTTTCCTAATAACATTCTAGTTTTGGTCCACAGTTCTTCTGGCTCTTGGTCAGTTAAATTCAGCAGTGCAGATCTGTTTTCATGTGGACTTTAAATGCATCAGAAATAATTTACATTATTTTGGCACAGTTCTTTTAATGCTGTTCTTCAGCTTTAATGTTGCTATCTGCTCCTGATCTTGTTTTGGCAGAGAGAATGCAGCCTTCTCGTCTCTTGCTTCCAAGTACATAGTCTATGTGATTTCTCTGTTGACCTTCCGGTAGTGTCCATGTGGACAGTCGCCTGTTCAGTTGCTTGAAGTACGTGCTTGAAATGGACAAGTTGACCTGGCAGAAATCTACTAGCCTATCTTCTGCTTCATTTTTGACCCCGGTCCGAATTTTCTGACAATATTTGCTCCTGCTTTATTTCTACTTTCAGATTCCAATCACCTATAATTATCAGCATGTCTCGTTATGGTATATGATCAGCTTCTTGGATACTTGCATAAAAGCTTTCGATTTCATCTTCTTTAGCCTCTGGTTGGATTATAGATTTGAAGGATGGTCGTGTTCACGGGTTTCCATAGAAATCTGATGGATACTCTTCGGTCAGACCTTGCATTGTAGCTCTCACTGCCTGTGCCACATCTTGCTTCAGTGTTAAAGCCACTCTGTTTCTGCAGAGCTTGTCATTTCCAGAGCAGAGCGCGGCTGGAAGTGCCGCGTTCCAGCCCGTTTTATGTTGCGATGCTCCGTTTCTTGCTTTGCTATACGTTGCCTTGGTCCATGCTGCTTATGTTCTGTGTTCCAGTTGCACGTGTCGTGCAGCATCGTACTGTTCTTTTCGCTTTGGTCTAGTTGTGTCGCTGGCAACAGTTCTATTCGTGTTTGTTCTTTGCTTTTCCCCAGTAATTGTTTGAGTACTTTTCAATCTTGGAGTCTCATTTTTCAGCACTATCTCATATTTCAATGTAAAACGAAAGATATTTTTTTTTTAAGGAATGAGAAAAGGCAGCAGTGGTTTACCTGGGCCACTGCCACGCGTGCAGTGTGGGGTCCCTGGTGCTGCATCGCCACATGCCCACGATGTGGAAGCACCCCTGTGGGAGTGCCAGTCATAGCTGTCATCTTTTGTGATCGGTTACATTTAACGATGCTCCATAATTTTTCTGCCATTTCTCTGATTCTAGCCATTTTAGATTTGTTTCTAGTGTCTCATTTTGTATTAGCCAGCCTAAAAATGTTTTCATGCAGTTGTTCCTTTGTATATATTGAATATTTATGACATTCTTAGGAACTCGGTCAAGAGTTCTAACTTTATGGACTTTAGTATAGATTGCTAGTGTTCTTGTTCAGAGCCATTCTAAACTAAACATTGCTGTCTTTTTAGGGCTTGATAAAATGATGGTGGATAAGGATGGCGATGTGACTGTAACTAATGATGGTGCCACCATTTTGAGCATGATGGATGTTGATCATCAGATTGCCAAGCTGATGGTCGAACTGTCCAAATCACAGGATGACGAAATTGGAGATGGAACCACAGGAGTGGTTGGTAAGAAAAGGCAGAACTCTCTTTCTCGTCTAAGATGTGTTATTTGAAATCACAGAGTTCACATACCTGCTGTGAGTGTTTACCTTGACTCAGATTCTGAGGAGACAGTTGGACAAATCCATGTTGAAGGACACACTACAAGACAGGTGGCCCAGACCCTTCAAAACTGCGTCGTGAAGGAACAGGAGTGGTGTGGGGGTTAGATGAAAAGTGCTGAAGACAAATGATGACTTTTTCAATGAGCAAAACTTGATCAAATGCCAGGTTTTTTTAAAGCTGTTAGCGATGTTTGGGACAGTTGAGGGAATTCGTGGATCATGAATCACAGAGTGTAGTCTTCTGTCAGTATTAAGTTTCCCGAGTGACAGGTACATTGCCAACGTCGGCGATGCCCTCGTTCTTAGGAGCTGTATGCCCAAGTAGTGGTGACGAGCCGTGGTTTCTGCACGAATTCTCCAGTAGCCGAACAGGAAAGGAGTGTGCCAATAAGTATATAGTGTTCATTTTACTGTTCTTGCATTTCTGCTTAAGTTTTGAAATGTTCAAAACGTTGGGGAAGAATGAAACGACTCTCTTTACTATTATTTTCTGCATATGAAACTGGAATTCGTGTATTCAGAGAGTCTTTACTGGGTGCCAAGTACTGTTCTGTGTGTGCTAAGGCGAGGCGAGACGGGGGGCTGGGAGGATAAATAACACATTTTTATCACCAGCATGAATTTCACAGAATAGAAATTTCTAGCCCAGGAAATATGATATAAAAATGGTTTTACGTTATATTCTTTAGTATATTTTTGCAGTCACTGAGAGTGGTTAGAACCTAAACAAGAGGCTCCTTGTTTAAAAATAGATCACATGGCCTCCGCCCCTAAGATGCTTCCCTCTTAACGCCAGAACCTTCACACGTTCGGGGCACCTTCTGATCCGTGACGGTAATACCGGGCTTGGCGTTTCCCTGAGCCAGTTGTGCTGTCTTGTCTGCAGTCCTGGCTGGTGCCTTGTTGGAAGAAGCCGAGCAGTTGCTGGACCGCGGCATTCACCCCATCAGGATAGCCGATGGCTACGAGCAGGCCGCCCGCATTGCTGTCGAGCACCTGGACAAGATCAGCGACATTGTCCTCGTTGACACACGAGACACCGAGCCCCTGATTCAGACTGCAAAAACCACACTGGGCTCCAAAGTGTACGTTTTCAATACAGCGTTACAGTTAGCATTTATAGAGGCAGCAAAGTTTGTTTGCTTGTTTTTCGTAAAGGCAACAAACAGGAAATGACCTCAGTGGCTTCATGTCGATTTGATGAGTTTCTTTCTGTTTCTGTTGGTCTGGTTTCACTTTGTTTTTAATGTAGGTGTAGACATGTGCATCCTGTGTTTCAGTTGAAAGCTGAATGTCAGGCTTTGCTATTAAATCTCAACAATAACCTGTAAAATACATAGTTCTTTAATTTAGCAAGATGAGCTTTGTTACAGATCAGCTGAAAAGTCTTACTTAGAGAATTTGTTAATTTTCATAACACTTTTTAATCATTTTTTGCTAGGATGCCACTTGGGTGGGAGTTCTAATTTTCATTCATTCAACATGCAAGTTACTGGTTCAGAAATTTGTTAATTAAGGAGAGGTGGTTTTGAAGTTGGGTGTTTTCAGCATTTACATAACACCTTATTTACCAGGCCTGCTGCCAACTCTTGGGGATGCAGGACAGTTCTTGCCCCTGGCGACTCAGCAGCCTCAGTTTATTTTGAAGATTTAAAGATTCATAGATTCTTGCTATAACATAGCATAGAATTTCAGTATATAGTGCTTTATTACACTTTTTTAAAAACTAGATAAAAGAAATTCTTAAATTTTTGTGTGTTGGTTTAAACAAAAGGAAGTCTCGTCTCAACACGAGAGGTCAGGGGAACTGCAACAGGAATGTCTCCCTCTGTTGCCTCTGCCCCTGGGGGAGACATTGACTGTAGCACAGTGCAAGAGCGGACACTAGTTCCTGGGCAAGGGTGACTGCAAGGCATTACCCTTACTTGAAATGCACAAATTTTAAAATTGCCTTATAGGTTAAGCCCGCTATATTCGCAAGTCTATAAAACCCAAGTTTGGATAGGTGTTTACTACAGAGAATGCTTAAATTGATGTGCTAATGTTTAAATTATTCAGCATAAAGCAAAATATTATAAATCACCTTCTTAAGACACTAAGAACATTTTTAGTTTCAAGGTTATCTTTTCTAGGTGGTGTAAAATTTCAGACACTATTTCAAGTACTGGATTCCCCTCGTCATTTTTCTGGAATCAAAAGTAAATTTATTGAGCAGTCTATACAGATTTTTCAAAGCTTTCAAAAAAGATAACATCCCCCATCTGTAACTGATGTCATAGTCGGAATTCCTGTACAAGTGGGGTGCCACATCAAGTCCTTTCACCTCTCAGTAGGTGCTACAGCTCATTTAGATGAGATCGGCTTTTCCTGGGTGATTTCCTAACTTTACCATTCTGTCTTCAACTTCTGAAATATTAATAATGTTCTTTAAAAGTAGGAGGATCTTGGAAAAAAATTTTTGTTTTTGCCATACTTGAGTGGTCTCTTGTATACATATGTTCTTATGGAATGAAATAGTAAATTTCAATTAGAATTAGTGAATATGAGATGTGAGGATTTTTTCCATCCAAGTTTCTGGCTGGCTGTCCATGGATCACAGGGTGAAAATCAGTGCCCCGGACTTGAGAGTGCAGGTTTGGTGGTATTCTTCTCTAGGGACTCCGAACGTCAGTAGTTTTATGAAATGTCTTTGAGTCACCCCCTTACGTGTGTGTTCTGCTCTGGTCGCGGTAATCGTTAAAAGAATGTGAACGTTGGGTTGGTGTGTTTTCATCAGGGTTAACAGCTGTCACCGGCAAATGGCCGAGATTGCCGTGGACGCCGTTCTCACCGTGGCCGACATGCAGCGCAGAGACGTCGACTTCGAGCTCATCAAAGTAGAAGGCAAAGTGGGCGGGAGGTTGGAGGACACTAAACTCATCAAGGGCGTGATCGTGGACAAGGATTTCAGTCACCCACAGATGCCAAAAGTAAGTTGTTGCCTTGCACGGCTTCAGACTTTTTTGAACCCTCGAGTCGTCCGTTCAAATGTTTCTGTTTTTCCCCCAGGAAGTGAAAGATGCTAAGATCGCAATTCTCACTTGTCCGTTTGAGCCACCGAAACCAAAGACGAAGCATAAGCTGGATGTGACCTCAGTGGAAGACTTTAAAGCCCTTCAGAAATACGAGAAGGAGAAGTTCGAGGAGATGATTCAGCAGGTGGGTCTTCTGCAGCTCTTAGTGACGCTCCCCTCCCAGGGAGGCGGGGGGTGGCCATGCTACTTCACGTGGCTACAAGTATCATAGCAACAGTACACACTGGCTCTCTTCTCTTTCAGGTTATAGAAGTGCTAAGCATTCACAGTGAGAATAAATCAAATTGCACAGAAACGGCTAAAGTGGGGAAAAACTGTTGATTTTTATCTTAAAATATGTTTGGGGACCTGAAAGCGTGGGCTCAGTTATCTCTAGCTGTGCCTTTGATGTTACAGCACTTGCTCCCCTGGCTGTGTCTAAGCCAGTAAGATGCAGGGTTGGACAGTATTAACGTGGCTTACCCCATACTTGAGACCTGTAAATGTAACCCTCAGACAAAGGAGTTACTGGGCACCATCATGGTAACCCCACACGGGGGATTCTCCGCTCGTGCGAGGCAGAGTGCTACTTTATCAACACCTCCCCTCCTGCCCCCGCTGTCCTTCACGGTGCGTGTGTCTGCTGTAGCAGTTCCCCTCAGGACTCTCCGTGGGAACTTGAAGCACCAGAGCAGTGAAGGGCGCATAAACGTGGGCGTTAGGTGCGTGGCCGGCAGACTGGAGGCTAGTTCGCTGTTTCCAGGGGAGTCGCTGAGTCCACTTGCTCCTTCGTGGTCCGGTTCTTCACCCGCTTTGTGTCAGGCCCAGTTACGGGCCCCGCAGCGCAGCAGTGGGCAAAGCAGAGCTCTTGCTTTCGAGGCGCAGGATGAGTGGAGACGGGGCCGGGCTGTCTGAGGAGGTGACATGGGCAGAGAGCTAAGCAGAGTGAGAGCAGCACATCTGGCGAGGAGTTTGCCAGGCGGGGTGGGCGGCGTGTCCAAAGGCCCTGAGACAGGCCGAGGGCAGGTGCGGGGAACAGTTGGGCTGAGGGATGGAGCGCGCTGGGCGGCCCCGGGAGTGCTGGCCCAGGCGCCCTAGAGGAAAAGCGATGGGAACTGAGGCTGAGGCAGCAGGCGGGTTGTGTTGACAGACACGGAGGTTGCTGGGAACAGTAAGAGGAGCGGTGGGCTAGTTGCCAGCATTTGAAGGAATGAGAGGGAGGACCCAACGGGGAACATTGGAGGTGGCTGTGAGGAGCAAGAAGGACCTCTCCTGTTTGGAGCACATGGGAGGAAAAGCATTTGAGCAGGCGTACAGCGGACAGCCAGGTGTGGTCACGGCAAGCGTGTAATGGAAGCACTGCAGAGAGGGGGCTCGCCAGTAGACTGAGGTCCGGGGAGCTGGGGAACGGTGGAGAGCTGGAGAGCCAGGTGTGGCGGTTGACCTGAGGGGCTCAGGTGAAAACAAGTGGCTGTGGGGCCTGGCACAGGTATCACAGGTGATCACCAAGGGGAAGGGGTGGACATTGGTTCTGACCACTGCTCCTGCCTTGGGATGAGTCAGCCATTTGTAAGGGGCGACAGGGAGCTCCTGTGAGAAGTGGTACCACCTTCGTTGGTCTGTTGGTCCACAGAGGACAGTCCACTCAAGTGAAAAAAAACAAATTGCAGAGAAATATGTATCATGAGACGTTTGTTAAAACACACGTGGATAACACGTGGATGAATGAAACTGCTTTGTGGGTATCTGTGATAAGGCAGAGCTGTCACCCTTGCTTCCCGGGAGGCTGGCAGGGGTACTCAGCTTTGGGGACTCTTGTTTTGCTTCAGTATACCAGTTCGGGATGAATTACTGGTTTTTAAAACACAGTTTAAAAACAAGGTGTTCACATTGATACATGTTCGTTGATGAGAATGTGGTAGGGGGTCTGCAGTTGGATCTTTCCTTTTCCGCTTTATTGCTTTAATTTCATGAACCCCCCCCTTACCCAGCTACGCATCTCACTTTGTTTGAACATTAGCACAAAGAATACTTACTTTTTATTAACAAGATGATGGCATATTTTTCCCCCAGATTAAAGAAACTGGTGCTAACCTGGCTATTTGTCAGTGGGGCTTCGATGATGAAGCAAATCATTTGCTTCTTCAGAATGACTTGCCTGCAGTCCGTTGGGTCGGAGGGCCTGAAATCGAGGTAGGAAGCTCCACGTGAAGAGCTTACAATGCGTTTGTGTCTCGGAGCTGCTTCGATTGTGCATGCTAAGTGAGCAGATTGCGCCTGCACTCCGCGGTCAGACTGCAGGGTGAGCTGGGGGAGGGACGTGCTGGAGTCTTTTTCAGTGTTTTAATAACTGATGTATATTTCTGGGGTTCTGTGGCATGCTTTCCGTATGTCATCTCACTTGGCCTCTCCTTGGCTCTGAGGTAGTTTTACTCACTTGTCAGCCAAATACCAAGTGCCATCCCAGAACGTGGTCTGTACCCAGACACACGTGACCTTGTGGTGAGCGGCCCGGCGTGCAGAGGGATAGCTGCACAGAGCTCAGGTTCAGAGGCACAGGTGAGAGATGAGGTTGAGAGCTATGGGGACATGCGGAAGGTGACAGCTGGGCAGCACCACAGCCAGACCAAGATACCTGCCTGGCTCTTCAGAGCCTTGTCCATTAAATGATGCATTTGGGGTTGAACTTGAAAATGTTGGGGCCAAGTGAGGCAGCATTTCTAGTACACTCGTAGATTGAGCTTAGCGCACACATGTGGTTCGATTTTGAGAGTTCGTTGTTCACGTCATCCCCGCCCCCTCCACTAGCTGATAGCCATCGCGACGGGAGGGCGCATCGTCCCGCGGTTCTCCGAGCTCACAGCCGAGAAGCTGGGCTTTGCCGGGCTCGTGAAGGAGATCGCGTTTGGGACAACTAAGGACAAAATGCTGGTCATCGAGCAGTGCAAGAACTCCAGAGCTGTAACCATTTTCATCAGAGGAGGAAATAAGATGGTGAGAATTCTGTTTTTGTCCTACTTTTTTTCTAATTTTGGTACGTTTTGGCTTTTCCCGTGTTACATGTCATTGAGACACATTTGCTGTAAGTAAAACAGGTCCTCGTCAAAGAAACGACGTATCGTGGTACAGAATTACCAAGGACCACGTTCTGTTTTCACTTCTACACGTGTCTGCGTTTTCGGTTCTCCACGTAGAGTAGGGAACGCGGACGACCCTCCGTTCTCCGTGCGTCATGGTGACTGCAGGGGAGGGTGTTCTTTGTCAGCTTCGTTTTGTTTGATCCCCTTGCTGGGTTGCGTGTCCTGGAATGAGGCACTGGCTGCCTCTGTCCATTTTTTTTACCCCAACGACGTTATAGGGCGAATAGGCGGAATAAACGTAGAAGCCGTTGGATAGTGTGTTCTGGCACACTCCATTTGTTTTAACCAAGGTGGTTTTGAATGGGGGGAAGGTGGGAATGCTTTTTAAGAAGCACTCAGGTTAAACCAGACATGCTAGGTATTTGTCTCTAAAATGAGTAAATGGTGATTGCATTAATTTAATAAAAACTGTTCTCCGTAGATCATCGAGGAGGCAAAGCGATCGCTTCATGACGCTCTGTGCGTCATCCGGAACCTCATTCGTGATAACCGTGTGGTGTATGGCGGAGGCGCCGCTGAAATCTCGTGTGCTTTGGCAGTTAGCGAAGCTGCAGATAAGGTAAAAGGCATGTAGAGACTGGGAGGACTGGGACCTTCTGGACTGTCCAGTGTGGAAGGCCGCGTGCTGCAAACGAGCCCCGTGCTAGACTCAGAGCAGAGGGGACAGTCAGCAGGAGTGTCCCGTAGCAGGTGTTCAGTCCAGTCACTTCTCATGCCCGTGTTTTCAAGTGCAGCTTACTATAAACTAGTGTCACTCAAGTTTTTTCAGTCATTCCAGCCTCGACAATTATTTTATGTAAATCTTTAAAGTTGATGTCATTTGAAATTCATAGTTAAGCATTATAATACAAACAAATCAGTAAGAGCCGATCTGTTTTCAGATTTCTTACATGCATACCTTCTCCAGCCTTATTCTGTAGTGAGGTTTTAATATTCTAGTAGTTTAACAATAACCACTGTGTTTAGAATTCTCCTGAGCTAGCATCCCACCCAGAGTGTGCGATTTAACTCTCCAAGTCGCCGCTGGGTTCCCTTGCCGAGCTTACCGTGGCCCTGTGCCCTCCAGTGCCCGACCCTGGAGCAGTACGCCATGCGCGCGTTTGCCGACGCCCTGGAGGTCATCCCCATGGCCCTTTCTGAGAACAGCGGCATGAACCCCATCCAGACGATGACCGAGGTCCGAGCCAGACAAGTGAAGGAGATGAACCCCGCTCTTGGGATCGACTGCTTGCACAAGGGCACGAACGGTGAGTAGCTGCTGTGACGGCGAGGGCTGCGGTCTGGCTTGGACTGGGTGACTGCATCCTGCGTGCTGTGTGGGCGTGGGGCTCGCTGTGAGGTGATCGGCGTCTTTCTGAGTACTCGAGCACACCCGAGGTTCGGGTCCTGAATTTCAGAGTGGTTTGATTGCCTGAGGAGTTGGTTAGACTGCTAGTCCTGGCAACATAAAACTGAATTTAATAACTGAACTACAGTGTGGTATTGACAGCAAAGGTGGCTTCCATTCTCCAGCCTCAGGGTTTAGAAAACAATTCTCGTCTTGCCGTTTTTACACAGATGTCTGTCAAAGTGGGTTCTGAGTCTCATATAAAACAGCCCTGATGAGACTGATGTTTAGTTCACAGCTTGTTCTGTGCTCACATCCCATGAATTAGGGGTGTTTGATAAATGTGATGTACCGTGACTTCTGTAGCCACGTGACTAGTGCACCTGCTGAAAGGTGGTGTCGCATCAGCTTGTGGAAGCGGAGGTCCCGGTGGCGTCTGGACTGCCCAGGCCGTGTCTGGGGCTCCGGAGTCCATCCTGCCACAGAATCAGACAGTTCGTTTTCCTTAGACGTGTAGAAGGTTCTGCTCCTAGTGGTCAAAGCCCAAGGATGTTAGTAACATCAGCAACTCTTGTCAGACAGATATTTAAATTTTTTTAACTCATTTGCCTCGTTGTGCTAAAATTTACCATTTTTAGGTATCTCTTGGAATTATCTTAGACTTCAGGTAGTCAGATTACGCTTATGTTGGGTTTTTACTAAATTACACAATATGGAGAGAGGTATCGCTGGAAGGTTTCACCTTTTAGCTAGTCTAGTCACACAGCCTTGTAGCTTGTGGCTAAAGAGAGATGTGCCTCCCCTATCACTGCCCCCGCCCCCCAACCATTCCCTGCTAATAACCAGGTTCACGTTCTGGAATGTCCTTAAAAATGTCTTTAATGAAATGTTATTTTTCTGAAAATGTTAAGTGGGACTCGTGGCTTCCAAATTTGTAATTCCTGAGTGTTACTGTGATTCCTTGAATCAGAGCCAGTTACTGATAGTAAACGTATGTTCTGTTTTAGGATAATGAGTTTATTTCTATTTTTCAGATATGAAGCAACAGCACGTCATAGAGACCTTGATTGGCAAAAAGCAGCAAATCTCTCTTGCAACACAAATGGTTAGAATGATTCTGAAGATCGATGATATCCGTAAGCCTGGGGAATCCGAAGAATAGAGGAAAAAACTAAATTGTGGTAGTATGTTTCAGCGCTGTGGTTAAATAAATGGCTGTCTTGTGACGCATCTGCAGTTATTTATTACGTTCTTTTCCAGACACTGTAGATGCTGTACTAAAAATAGTTATCTAGTACCATAGTTTCACTTGTTGAAAGACATGTAATTGCAGGGAAGCTGCTCACAAGCTTTTGTATTTGTTACATTAAAGGGATCTCTTTAAACCATCTTTATCTCCTGTCTTTAAAGAACATTCACTGTAATGAAATGCTGTCTTTGAAAGGGGTACAGTTTTTCATTTTTTTTTAATAAGCTTTAGGAGCTCTTAACAGCTTAAACAATGAGTTTGTTCTTAAAGATTTATAACATTGAGAGGAATGTGCGCTTGATCCTATTAAATGTGTCTAATCGTTGCACCTACGTGGGTGGGTCCTTTAATTACAGAGACCTGTCGTGGGTCAGTTTTTGTCATAGAATTATGGGCTGTCTCAAGCGGTATTATGTTGTTCCAGCATAGTATATCACAGGGCTAACGAGACCAGCGTTGAAAGGTCAGTTTTCACGTGACCCCTGTTCCCTCTGGCCCTGGGCCCCCCTGAATGCCGGCCAGCTCGAGTTGGAGAAGGCCGGGTTAGCAGACTCCTTCCTACAGCACCTGCAGAGGCCGAGAAGGGCCGTTCAGAACCCAGTTGAGGTTTTCTTAACAGAATTGACAGGAAGTGGAGGCTGAAGTGAATTGTAGGAAATACGAGAGAAATGGATCGAGTGGGAGGGAAGGCCTTGCGACTGCCCTGTCGGGGTGGCTGGCAGGTGGAAGGGCCAGGTCAGACCCAGGCGTCCAGAGTCCCCACCCCCACCCCGCTGCTGTTTTGCCTGTGTGCTCATATGTGCGTCTCCAGGTTTTCCAAAAGAATGTTTCTTGTAGAGATTTACGTAATAAAGTTCACTTAGGTGCCACCAGGAGTAGAGGATTTGCTGTTACGCTAGTCAGGCTTCCTGGGATTAGGGAGCTGGTTCCTCCTAAGTGATGGTTTCAGGTCACCTGCGAGCCTGGTCACTGGCTGGTCTCTACGTCGATACCTCGGTGCTTCCGCTAAGCAGGCGTACTGTGGATTTAGGAATACGTGCTAAGACCATTCTTCCTCATTTTAGTGTGTTTATGGAACTAGACGGTTGAGTGTTGAAAGCTTAAAACCTGAACACACGAGCGAGTGGATGTTTCAGCACAGAATGGTTGGGAAGTGGCACTGCTGTCATTGACGCTCCTGCACTCGACGCAGCGTCAGGTCGCGTCTGCTCGGAGATGAGAGGCACATTCAGGCAGACCTGCGTAGCTAAGTGGCAGGACCGATTCTCGCCTGCGGAGAACCTTCAGCTTGCTTTGGGCCAGCGTTTCCTCAAGGGGTTCACAGTTGTGCGGGAAGAGCCACCACACCACCTTTCCCTTCCACACAATGTCACAAACGCTCCTGGAGCATTTCGTGGCTGCGAGAAGGAAATACATGGCCTGTGGACAGGAAAACCTGTAGAGATGTTTCACAAGGCGTTGATTTTGTTTCGTTAAAAGCACCTTTTCAGAATAATAACCTTTTTAATCTTCAAGCTCCAAATTACCTGTCAAGTTTAACACCCTTGACCTTGAGTTGATTGCCATCTCCCGATGGGTGGCAAGAAGAACTGAAGACACTTGACCCTGAGGCCAAATTCCCACACAGGACCCAGCGTTTTCTGTTGGTTCCCAGTTCTTAGGCTGGCTGGGTTTATTTGATGTTTGTTAAATGGCCTGGCCCTTCTAAGGAACCACTCACAAGTACGTGTCCTAAGTGCTGTCATAATGTTTCGTACAAGTATCAACAGCGCTTTTCAAAGTGTGATCCACAGACGCCTCGGACCACCAGGCCCCTTCAAGGGGCCATGAGGTCGAAAGTGTTTTCATACTGAGCTTATTTGCTTTTGCACTGTGAGGGGTGAACCGCCTTCATCTTAGCGTGAATCCAGGCAGAGGCACCAAACTGTACTAGTAGGTTCTTCACCACACACTTTAAAACCACTTTCATAGGAGGATGGCCTTGACCAAGCAGCGCAAATGAGTCATTAGATCGACTACACAGCCCTCAGTATTCTGTGACAAAGTGAGCGTGATAACACTCTTCACGTAACCTGTGGTCTCAGCTGAACTGCCCCTTGTGGGACACATCACTTCTTTCAAGAATGACTGGCGAACCAGATACTCATATGTATGACAGACGTTTCCTGAAACGTGCACACAGCCTGTCACTTCAGTGGAGCAGCTGCCTTAGTTCCGGCTCCTGTAATGACAACAGCAGACTGAGTGGCTGGGACAACAGACGTTTACTTCTCATGGTTCTGGGGCCGCAAGATCGAGGTCCCAGCAGACAGTGCTCAGGCTCGGGGAGAGTGAAGGGGAGAGATTTTCCTCCCCTTTCGGAAGCTCCTGTGTCCTCCATGACCAGTCCTCCTGCCCGCAGTAAGGCTGACACCTTCAGAAACAGCCCGGCTCACTCCCCACCACGACCCCAGCACAAGGCACTTTCTACAGGAGACTGTCCCCCCACCAACCCTGCAAAGTAACGCCTTCCTCGTTTTATAGATTTTACATTGAGGAAAATGGAGAATTTAGGCCTTGCCCGAATCACAGCTCTGTGGTGGGACCTGGACACTGCCCGTCGAGCCTCCCATGCTCCATCCTTGTACTACTACGCCCTGTCTCCTGCCCCGTGCCCACCCGATGGCTTCCCAGTCTATAGGTCCACGTGGTGGCAGCTTCTGCTGCACCACCCCACCCCCCCACACCAGACCTCCATGCGCCTCCTCACTGCACCCTGTCCTGGCCATGGTCCATCCCCGACTTCAACTGATGCTCATTCACAGCACATAGGGGGAAGCAGCTGGAGGGTGTCTGGGGAAGGGCTTCCTCCCTAACAAAAATGGGTCCAGGGAAAACCCTGCTGTGGCTGGTGTTCCGTGAGGCCAAGGCCCAGGACCATACTCACCAGGAGGGCCCAGGATGGTGGACACCTGACTGAGCCGCCATCAGTCGCCCTGAGCCGCCCGGACACGTGTCGGGGTGTGGTGGGGTAGACGTCACTGTTACACTTAGTCACTGCTAGTTCAGGATTCCTGTTACCTGCAGCCCAAGAAAAGCCGATATTCCAGGCAGGACCAAAACCAAACTCCTCCGCGGTTCTGCTGCTCCTCCAGTATTCCACCCTGCGTCAGCTCTAAGTTCCCTGTCCAGCTGCTGTGGAATCCGTCCTCTCCACTCCCGGGGCTGAGGTCAGGCCACGCCATTGCTCCCTTGCTCCCTCTCCGAAAGGACCCATCCATCACTCCTGCTGCGCTCACGGGAAGCTCCAGTTGGCAGCCGGGGGACCCCGCAGGCCCACCCAGCAGAGGCTGAGAAGCGATGGGCATGGCTTCCTGAGGCCCTGGGCCCCTTCCCGCTCCGCTCCCCATGTGCCCACACGTTTCCCTCCCAGAGCTCCAGGACTGCCGCCTGGCCCCACGTTGGCCATGGCCCCCTGAGGCAAAAGTCCCACCCCCAGCCCAGGACCCAAGCAAAGTCCCAAGGCCCAGGCTGGGCACCTGGGAAGAAAAGCAGCTCCTCCGGTGTCCGCGGACCCTGGGGAGATCCAGCAGGAGGGACAGAACCGGTCCCAGCCCGGTGTGTTCCCAAGCAAAATTCTCAGAACCCAGGAAGACCAACTACAGGGCTGTCCCGTGGAAGAGCAGGATTAAGGAAAAGTCAACAGGAGACAGCAGGAGAGGCTGATGCGGGACCCAAAAGGCCGGTGTTTAGAAAATGACCGCCTAGGAGACAGCTGGGTGGTAACTATCCATCGTTTATTAGCTTTTAGAAAGTCACAAGTTCAAAAACAAAGTAAGTTTACTACGTTGACATAATTAGGTCAATAGAACCCTATTTTAATCACTCAATGCAATATATGAATGTGAGATTCATCTGTATTATGACAAATATCTAAGTTGGGCTTTTAATCTACTTGAGTTTACAGTGTATGTTTCCATGGCTTTACAACGTTAGTCATTTTACAGAATGTAGTCAAATACAAGGAAGGCCACACCTGAGCTGTCAGCTGGTCCCTGAACAGCCCCAGGATTCCCTAAGCGTTAGAATATTACTGTCATTCAAATTCAAATTCATCAAGTCATGACTCATTTTTAAAAGTTTTATTTACGTACATGGTAAAATTTAAGTATTTCATACATTTACATTTCTCACTGAATTTCAGGATTCTCTGGTTTATTTTATAGCAAGTGAAAATGAAATAAAATGATCTAAGTATTTCAAAGCAAATTTCTAGATGAAAGCCACTGAGAAAGTTTGCCCGTGGCCTCTGCTAGACGTACTTGTTCAGCCACTCGAGTAAATTCCTTCTCGCCTCTTCAATATAGGGCTTGTCTTCAGGTGAACAGTCTTCTCTCTTTCGATGCACAAATCCATGAGTTTGCCCAGAAAATGTTTTAATTTGATATTCCACTTTGCAGTGTTCTTTCAACTTCTGGGTTAGCAAAGAGACCTGGAATATGCAAAGGTTTTCATGATGACGTGGTTTTGGACCCTCTAGCGACATTTCCCATTCTCTCGTAGAAGAGACTCAACATCAGTGCATTAACAAGTCCCATAGCTAATGAAGTTTTTACTTTTAATGTTGTCACTAACACAGTTCTTACCTCTGGCAAAGGAGAGGATTCAGAGCAATATAAAAATGACACAACATACATTATTTGAATTGCATTAATAGACTATGTTATATAATATATTCTATATAATATTTAATAACTAATGTATTCAATATATTGGATATATTGAATATTGTATGCTTGAAATTCAATATGTTCAAGTATAAGTTATTTGAAACTCGTATTAATAGAATGTATTGGCTATGAATAAAAATGATCATTTCTTCTGCTTTTTCTTTATGTCCTGGATTTAATGCACGGTGTCTGTAAGGACAAAGACCTCGTGATTAACCGGGTCACATGTGGGCGGACGGGGAAGCGGGGCCCCTTCCCGGTAACCAGGCCCCACCCAGAGCATTCGTGGGGGGTTACCCATCCCACTCTACATCCCCAATGAAACCCACTTTAAAAACTTAATGTTGAAAAATATTTGGAGCAACAAATGAGCCGTTTAATATGTTTTCCCACAAACGTCAAATCGTGTTATCAAACCTAAATGTGAAGAGGAAGATGCCAACGTACCTGCTCGAGAGGGATCACGGGATCGTTTTCAGCGAAAATGAACAGCGTGGGGTTCTTCAAACAGTGGACGTCTTCGGAATCCCTGATGAGGCCTGCAGAGAGGGGTCGGGCGCTGAGCTGTGATTCCCACACCCGTGCCACGGAAACCTACGTGGGTGCTTTGGGGGTTCCAGCTATTCAGCAAATCCACAGAAGTAGGCTGGCCTATCAAATTAGTCCCCCAGAGACACTGATCTAGCTGGACCTTCCCCATCACTTCATTCGGCAGGAATGAGGCCTTTAAATCATGGGGTTCAACCCGACCAGGTGCTCGTCATGTAAAGACACAGGAGCAACTTTAAAAATGCTTGTGCCATGCCTTCCTTTACCGAGAGGTGGTGACGGGTGACCACCACCGTTCTAGGAATCTTCCACGGTCTTCACAAGCCCCAGGCTCTGACTCGAGTGCGCCGGGTGGGTTCATTCATTAGGCGGAGCGGCCATTGAACAGGACACTTGTGCTCGGACACGACCACAAGCATGAAGTCCCTGGACGCAGCACCTGGTCCTACAGGCCAAGCATAAACGCTGGCTTCTGTCCTTCGTTTCGGAATTGTAGAGATCATTTAGTCCGAAGCATGCTCTGCCTTGGGTGTGCCCACTCCCATAGGAAACTAAGTAGCAGTCTTGCAATAGAATGCCATTTTAAGATAATAGTGTTAAAGGAAGACTATTCTGAGACTTGGTGAAGACAAAGGAAGATTCTATTCAAGAGGGACCTCGGCGAAGGGGTTGCATAGTAAGGAGAGCCGGCTCAACCAGAATACAAGGACAGTGGGGATTTATGGCCAGGAAGCAGGGCGGAGGTCAGTGGAAACATTGGGGTCCGGGGGATTCTGGCCAGATGACGGGATTCTTGCTAAAGGCAGGCAGGGTGATAAGATGCCGAGGGTCGCCAAGGCATTTGATCAGACGTGAAAGGTGGGGGAGCCTCACTAAACGGACCCAGTGGGCCAAGGGCAGAGCCCAAAGTCAGAGCCTACTCAGAGGAGCCTGACTCAAATTTGGCCAAGTCCTAGTAGGAAGGAGAAAACGATGGGTGGCTTCCCCCCACCCCCCATTTCCCGTTGGCAGCACGAAAAGCTAAGTAACCAGGAGGATCTCCACTCTCCTGTAACTCCCCTCTAGGAGGCAGGGAGCCACCGGAGAGGGCCGCGCTCCCTGCCTCACTCTGTTAACGCCCCTCTGGACAGCGATTTGGTGGCCCCGGGCCTCGGTCGCGCCACGCTGTGCAGCTCATGCACTGCACAACAGCGGCCAGAAGGGGGCGCGGGAGAGCCGTGCGCGCAGGAGCGCCTTTCGCTAATTCACGCAAAGGGACCGCGTGTGCCAGCCACCGTCAGCCTCAGCTGTGCCCTGTGGCACCTGGCAATTTATTCCTTTTGCGTAAGTAAATATTTAGAGTGTTCTTAAAATGCTAAAAGTAGGCAAAAATATCACCGTGAGTAACCACTAAGCCAAATAAGAATCATCAGTGTAACTATGATATATACATTATGAAAGAAAGCCGAATTTCCTTGTCTCATTTTGTTTTGTTTACATTTTTATGGTCAGAATGTTCCTACAGCATGAAGTCGGTATGCCGTTTCTACACACAGGTATAATAATGTCCTCAGCAGCGCTATGATCCCTTAAGTTTGGTTTGGCTGAAATGTTTATGTTGCTATTTACATTTTACAGTGGATTTTCCTTTTTTCTTCCCTTGTTTATAGTGCATGTCTGTGTCTGTCTGCACTTGTGCAGTCCAGAATAACTTGTATCTTGGGGGAAAAAAAATCTTTTCATAGATGTTGTTTTTAAAAGTATTTCTGAGAATTAACCATTATCACAGAAAGAAATGTTAATCCCTTCATCCTAAGAGACGAAACTGAGACGTCAGGTCAGGTTAGGTGACTTTCCTAAAGGCACACCGTCGGGACCCAGGTCTCCTCACTCCCAGTGACATCCTCTGGTTACTGCATTACAAACCTCCGCCTCTACTTCCAGAGTTTTAAAGCCAGTTTCATGACAACTGGGTTTTGTCTTGCATCTGGGACCTTTAGCCGGGAAAGAGGCTCGTGGTTATTGTCACCCACCTCCTGTTTTCACTGCGTAAATTTGTACAAGGCGGATTTACCATAGAGAGCCACCCCTGCCCTGAATTCCGGGTATTGCATCATCAAGTGATGGACAGCAATTCCGCCCCAGCAGAATCCCACGACACCAATGTTCTGGGCGTGACACTGTTCTTTCAGATACTTCAAGACTGCATCGACCTCTCTAGAACAGGAAGAAAAGTTACTTAAGAATCAAGAGGTATTTTGCGAGGCCCTGGGAAGGGATGCCGGGCAGAGTGCTGTGCTGATGGTCACACGGCTGTGTCAGCAGCTGTTCCTTGAGGTTCTGAGAGTCTTACTTTCGGAGCTCTGTCTCACCACCTCCAGCCCAAGTGATGAGTGACTCTACTCCTAGCAGGTCTCCCTGCCAAGCCCAGCCTCCTCCAACCACCTGACAGGGCTGCAGCCCGGTTCCTTTCCAATAACCAGCTCATTTCCCAACTGGAAGCCGAGCGACAGACTTTCACAGCCTCAAGATAAAGGCCAAAGGCCGCAGCACAGCTCTAAGGCCTGACCCCGAGATCTGTGCCCCCCCGAGCTGCCCTGTCGCGTCTCTCTCCTCTCGACAGGCACCAGCTGCAGCTGGGCCGCTCCCCAAACTCTGACTTGGCACATGCATTCCCCTGCCTAACACCCCACTCTGCGTCTCTCGTCTCCACCCCTGCCCAAAGAGGGAGCGAGATTTGGAAAGCCACCAGGACTATTTAAGCCAAGAGGGGACAGAGGACTGTGGCCCTTGTCTCCCAAATGGTTCATTTGCAAATTGGTGGTTTGGAACAACTTGGAGGACGTTTTCAAGTAGAAGTAATGTGCTTAATTGGAGGGCCGCGGCCATGCACGTCCTCCACGGAGGGAGGGTGGGCATCTGAACAGGGGAGCCAGGCCCGCCTCTGCCTCCAGACTCTGCTCTGCCCGGGGGCCGATAACTTACTTATCGATCTTTCTGGCATTTCTTGTTTTCAGCCACTCAGGGAAGGTGGAAAAGTCCGCAGAGGGGTGCCATGGCTCTTGCCCTACAAAGAAGTCCGGAACGATGGTTCTGTAAAATAGGGACATTTGGCGATCTTAATTCCGTGGCTTTTGGGACTCGGTATTTGCTTACATTCGTTAGTAAACTTGTTACGTTGGCGATTCTCACCACAGGAAAAGAGAAGTCGTGACCAGGAGGCCAACTGGCACCCAGCCAGGCCATCTCGGATTTCACAATGGAAGGGGCAGGGCCTTCGGCAGCGCGCTTCTAGCCCAGCCCGTCTGGAATGACATGGCATCGGGCAGTGCACAGACCCCAGGAGGTATCATACCCAAGATAAGGGGATCTGGCAGCCAAGGCCTGGAGCAGGGCGGCTACAAGGCCTTTCCAACACCCACCCGCAGGAGTCACACCTCTCAGCCGGCCTTGCACATTAGCCTCAGGTCACATACACACCTGCTTAGCACGTCCAGTCACCATGACTAAACAATTTTCCCCAGTCTCCGCTCAGCGTGCCGATGGGGCATGACTTCCTGCCCGGACGGTGTGACCTAACGCAGGCTCTGGAAGGGGCCAGAGACGGAAACCAGCCAGCGCCCCCCATCCCCGTCCAGCGTATGGGGAGGAAAAAATTTCCCTCCTTCCTTTCTAGGTTCTTCGGCTGGACAAGTAATTAAACTGCCGTAAGACAGACGAACAGGAGAAAAACGAATTTAACTGTGTGCGTGAGAAAAGGGGTTCTGTGGAAAGTAAGCCGGCAGGGTGGTGGGACCGTGACCCCTGCCTGGGCGGGTCGTGTGTTCGGTGGCACCCGGGCCTCTGGCTTCTTTAGTGAGAGGTTTGTCTTCGTCTAAGCAAGCCCTGCCCACTGGTTTTACGCATCTAGGTTAACACACCTTTCAAACAAACTGCAGCCGTCTTCGAGAGAGCCCAGGACCTTAACTAACCACCTGTCATCCAGGCCCCGCCGCGCTCTCTCCCACGGCCGTGCCGTCTCCCTTACGTTCCCTCCTTCATTCCAGTCCCATAAAGAGGCTGCGAAACTGTTATTCTCAGGAGCATTTGAGGTCTTGTTCCCTGGCATATGTCGTCAGTTTGGCTCAAATAAATTCATACAAATTCTCTATGGGTTTGGACGTTTCCTATGTCAATAACTTCATACATAGCGGAGTCCCATAAAAATATGCATTAGACCCAGAGGCAGTCCGGTAATGAAGGCTTATAAGCCATCCTGAGCTAAGACACTGGCTAGGGATCTGGGGCTTCAAAGGGAAGGAGATTTAAGTCAAAGGGCTGTAAGAGCAGATATCTGGTAATTAGATGTTTGTCCTGCAGCAGAGATAGGCCATTCAGATAAAAATTATCTCTGGTAGTAGCTCTCCTTATCTAAATTCTTTTACGTAATTAAGGGAGAGGTAAAAGTTTTTCTTGAACCTGCTGGGGTTTGAGTGCCTTCAGCTCAAAACAATCCACGTGCCCAAGTGGCACATTTGGGGGTGGCCTGCTCTGCAGCCCTAGGTGGCCTTCTGTGCAGGCATCACTGTGGACAAGGGAACACAGCTCCTCCTGCAGGGGTATAATCTGGGTCAGAAAAATCTAAGTTCAAGTCCCAGGACTGGCCTGTCTGCCCTGTAACCTTGACGAGCCATTTAACCACTTCCAGCTCCTCCTCTGGAGCTGGCAAATAGAGCCTGCGCCAGGCACTGCCCGACCTCCAGGGATTGTTTGAGGGCAAGCGGCTCGGTAAACAGGCCCCTTTACTCATTGTTTATGATCCGCCTCCAGCTACAGAACCCGAAATAAAATAGATGCCACCTGCAGTCCCATTGACTGAGCAAGTTGTGGCAGGATGACCTGGGGCAACTGCACCTCTGTCCTCATGCCCTGGCTTCCTAATTGACAAAATGGGAACAATGACAGTCCCACCCTGGAGGGGTCTTTGGGAGGATGGAGGTCAACTGCCCCGTAACGCCCCTAGGCAGGGTCTGGCTAAGCCAGAAGGCAATCAGGGTTGCTGTCATTTTAATTCCTGTCCTTGCCCCCGGGGAAATTAAGTTGCCTCCTCTTCGAGAAGAAATTGAGAGGCCTAGAAAAGTGAAAAATCTAGTGAAATTCCTCTTTGGTCAACACTAAATTTGCGTCGCAGGGCGGAGGGTCCGCTTCCTTTAAATCGGGTGGGAAAACAAGGTAGGCTACCCTGCGGTTTCTAGCTTCTCTCTAGAGGAAATCCAGGGGAATCGGGATGCTCCACACTCAGGGCCGGCTGGATTTTACACTCTCTGAACGGTTCCTCCTCCCCTCCGTGCTTCACTGAAGCTGTTACCAACACCAGGTGACAGCATTCGCCCGCCAGAGGTGGCCATGGCCAGCAGTCTGACAAAGGCATAACCTTTGGGAGATGAGCAAGGTGTCAGGGTGCCAGTTCTGGAATCCGGTGTAACTCGGACAGGGCCAGGGGGTGTTGTGTGGGGCCCAGGACAACTGCGGGCGCCCCGCCTGTGAAATCTGACTCAAGGCCCAGATGCTTCAAGGACCAAATAATGGGTCCCTTTCAGACTGGAGAGGTCTGCCCATGGTGTCCCACAGCGGTGTCCGGGCAGGGCCCCACAATAAGATGCGCAGGGATTGGGTTGGAAGCAGGTAGCTTTCATTGGACACCTGCTGGTGGGTGTTTACATTTCATATGACATTTCCCATTTACCCGCCCCCTAGAGAGAGAAGGAAGTAGGTAATGTAAATTAGAATACGGTCAGGGTTTTTTGGGTTTTGTTTTCGTTTTCCCTGAAGGGACGAAATATAGATCACAGAAATGTACATAAATTTAAATGAAGGAACAGAATGTCATACTTACGTGTAGCCATTTCCTGCAATCATGTCAGCCATATATCTAGTATTGGGCAGTTGCCAGCCGAATACATCTTGAATGACGATCACGGCTTTGCCCGTGTTGACGGGGGATCTGGTGACATAAGCCTTGATGTGCTCCACTTGAACTTCACACCCCATCCCTCCATACTCCATCTTATGGCCAATGTCACACGGACAAGGATTAGCTTCGTTAGCCATGGTAGGGATTTAAGTCAGGCTACAGAGAGAGAAACATGCCTTATGTTCTGAATGGTGCAAATCCAGAAATTATAAACAGTAAGTAACTAAAATCAAGATTACAGGAAAAAAATTCATTTTAACTTTACTCCTAGTGCAAGAAATCAGTGATGACTTCTGGTTTTGGCAACGCCGCAGATTGGGGCCAAGACTCCAGTCCCATCGCAAACGCTGGAAACGCCAGCGTGAATGCGGGAGACAAATAAAAACAAAGACGACAGCACAACGCACAGAGAAAAAGGAGCAACGCCTGGGCCAGACCCGGAGCAGAAACCGAAGCCAGGATGGCGCAAGCAGGTGCCGAGTGGGCCCACATGGGACCAAGGCCCGAGGCCTGGCTCAGCCGGCCCTGAGGGTGCTGGGGGGACAGCGAGGCCTTGGGACCCCATGACACGGATTTGTAGCTCAGACCTTCCCACGCGATGTTGGAGCCCTCGCAGGTTCGTATTTCATGGGGGAGATAAACAACAGGAAGAAGGAAGGAAGGAAGGAAGGAAGGAAG